CTGCTGTCAGCATGCCAATTGCACGCTCCCTCAAAACTTGCGACATCTGTGGCATTGTGCTGTGTGATAAAACTGAACATTTCAGAGTGGCCTTTTATTGTGGCCAGCCTAAGGCACACCTGTGCAATAATCATGCTGTCTAATCAGCATCTTGATATGCCACACCTGTGAGGTGGGATGGATTATCTCGGCAAAGGAGAAGTGCTCACTATCACAGATTTTTTCAGATTTGTGAACAATATTTGAGAGAAATGGTTATTTTGTGTATATAGAAAATGTTTTAGATCTTTGAGTTCATCTCATGAAAAATGGGAGCAAAAACAAAAGTGTTGCATTTATATTTTTGTTCAGTGTATATTGTGTGTTTTCTGTTGAACCTCAGTTTACAGTATTACTATTTTTGCTTGCACTCTTTCCAAATTACATTCACTGAGCCAGATTGTGACACTTCAAATTGAGAAAGTGTAAAGCACAGCGATTGTCAATGTCATTGAGCAGTTGTTCATTTATCTTAAAGACACCTTGTTGAGTTTTATTGTAAGCAAACATTTATTTGATTTGTATTGCCCAATATCACACATCGCGTATTTGCCTCAGGGGCTTTACAATCTCTACAGAATATGATAACCTTAGATAAGGAAACAAGTTATATAAAACATTTAACATTCACAAAATGTATAAAAACACTATTGTTCACATCCATGTTCATTAGCGTGCAGTCTTCTTATCTTTATGCAGGTGCGTTGTAGGATACATTGCTAGTTTTCCACTGACATTATTTTGCCCTCATTCTAATGTTGTCAGGGTTGAGTGAAGCAGGCAGGACCCAAATGCAGATTTCAACGAAAAATACCTTTATTCCAAGGCCAAAGCGTCAAAAACAGAACACTACCCCGTGACACAGTCAAAGACAAACAAGGAACTAACAAAGACAGACAGAAAAACCAGAACTTAAATACACACAAGACTAATCACACAAACAAGACACAGGTGAGGAGGGAGGAGAAAACACAGGGGCACAAGGTGAACACAATCGGGTAATCAGACAGGAGGGAACACAGACAGAAAGCAACAGGCAAGACATGGGGTGAACACGCTTCAAAACAAAAGAGGAAACCAAAAGACAGAAAAAGACAAGACAACACAAAACACAGACAGATCGTGACAAATGTCTCTCACCTTTCTAAACTCGGGCTGTTATGTTCAGTGAAGTGTTTTCTATCACCTGTACTGTCGGATGTTTGAGCATCTGATATTAAGTAAACGTACTTTCAATTTATTTTCTAAAGTCAGGTCCCAGCTCAAGGACAAAAATGGCTGCATTTTCCGCCTCCAAACATTTTATCGAATGTTCCCTATTCACTGCTTGAGAATAGTTAATTCGATTCAATCCAGCCATGGCCTGTGCTGCCTCAGTGCAGAAGGGCAATTTGCCTTGACCGCCTACTCCTGAATGAAGGACTGCAGACTGTTCTCTCACAATTGTAGCTTTTGTCTCGGGCTGCTGCCATGCCAACACAATTTCACTGTCCAGCTAGTGCCTGGGCAGCCGTCTAAGAAGCCTTGTGAGAGCATATTGGGTACCTGTCACTTTAGAGCCCTTAATGGCAAGCATAACAGGCTCACGGTTTACTTCTATGCAACTAAATGAATGTGGTATGACATGGTCCTCTTGTTTTCAGAGATCGGCTGAGGGTGTGTCTATTTTGTGTGACCCCTGAGTGGGAGTTGGGTTATTGCATCGATTGACTTAATTTCCCTGAAGAGGACAAGATGCTAGTGGCACGACTGATCCTTCAATTTTATATTATTCTCCATCAAGGGAGCATTGTGACATGTGTGTCACAACCGGATGTCGCTTTTCATAGTGTCGAAAACACAAAAAAGAGTTTTGAAACTGATTTCAGCAGTCAAGATTCAGTTGGACAATATAGAGGGAGGAAGTCACGTCTGAGATGTAATAAGAAGCAGCTGTTTTGCTTATGAGACAATACGGCGTACGCATACACTAGTGAGTATTCTGGAGAATATACAGCGGCCCAAAGTAGCTGCACAAACATTGACAATGACATCCAACGAGCTGAACTGAAAAGACCAAGCGCTGCAGTTGGTCTCAACACAGTTTTGTGACTGGCTAAGGAACTTAGATGATGGAGATGAACTTCGCTGTGTCTCTCACTGGCTACCCCCCCTCCTCACCATGGTGTACCTGAACCTGTCAATTCATGTTTGTGGGGACAGACAGGAGAGCACTCTTTAGCTGTGACACTGACAGAGATCTGTTTTCATGCTGATGATGTTGTGGCATCATGTGTCTGTTTAGACTATTTGCATGTTTATCACATGCTTCAGCTTGTTCACTGATGTAGTTGGAATGCAGGAGAGAGTGTGCACACTTTCACTTGGTGACATCCATTTTTGACATCTATTTCTCATTAAATACTTCATAAAAATAAATGCCTGTAAAACATGTTTGCCCAATCCCAAAAAGCTTTTTATTCTTTTCATATTTGAATGTGATCGGATGTATTTAGTGAATCAACAATGTGAATCGGTCCTTTGTTTTTTTGTTTCTACAGTTTGCTTGTTATTATAATGCAAACATCCCAGATAATGTATTTCCTGAGTTGTTCCATCCTGAAAAATAATATGTATCTAAATCAGAATTTAAATGTGTGCACAGCAATTATAAAATGTATTTTAATCCATTGTGTGTGTTTTGTCTTGTTTTCTCCCATTGAATTTGTCCAGACCAAGTCAGCAACAACTGTAAGCTTACTATATTATACCCAGCAGAACAAAAAGGATTACTTTCACATCAATACAACGAATAAGAGAATACTTTTGTGAACAAAATATGATGCAAAACTCTGTAAAGAGTGAAGATGGCAGTGGGGAACATAAAAAGGGGAGACCAGAGAACATGCCCTCTCCTCTCAGGTGCAGACTTCTATTTAGAGAAAAGTGCAGGCACACATCTCTGCCACTCCAGATTCCATTTGAAGATCCCTCTCTGAACATTTCACGGTGTTATTGCCACATATCAATGCATGGAGCTCTCAAGAGAAGAGCCGCTGTCTAGTGCAAAACTAGACCCATGCCATTAAGCTTTAGAGGCATAATAGCATGTAGAAAAGGGGAGAAAACCGCAGTGTTGGAAAGGTGAACCCAGTATGCTCTTTCTGTCTTCTTTTCATCTTCTGATAGAATTAGAGTAATGGCATCAATATGTTTGCACCATGGTGTATGTATCATTTAACATTGGGAATCATTATTTATACATTGCAAGATTGATGGACAAAAGGAAATTATAAAATGTATTTAACCGTAGTTGGATAGTTAGTTATGTCAATCGACTTTCTAACATCTATTTTTATGAAAATAAGACTAAATGATAAAAAAAAAAGGTATTTATGTCTATAAGAAAAGTCTGAATACAATGCATTTCTCTTCCCACAATAATAAAATGGTTATTTTACAACATGTTCTCAAAATTCAAAGAAAGTATATACATGCCTTTGAATCCTGTACATATATATGAAGATCTGAGGCTGTACAATTTTAGTCATTTTATTTACATATTTTCAATCTACTATACTGTGTCGTTTTTTCTGATGTTTTTGACATACTATAATATGTAGTTTTAAAATACTGTCTATACCATACCATGACTTTTTTGACATACTATTCCCTCACTTTTTTACGTTTATCGACATCGGCTATTTTGTAATGTTTTTTCAGATCTTTTCCACATTACCTTTTTAAAATATTGTCGGTTTTTTAGATATTTCTGACATACTTGACTGACACACCATGCTACTGTATGTCATAGTGACATTTCATTTTCTTTTCATTTTCTTCTTTTATTTAAGGTGCTGCAGGCTCAACGGGTCATTTAGTTTTACAATTGAAGATTGTTGCATAGCAACCGTCTTTCCAATCTGTTCATGGCCTTTTCCTTAACATTTGGCCATATATCGTTATCATAGATATCACAGAGCCTATATTGGCAGATATACAGATAACAAAAGATGCTTATGCACATCAGTAGGCCTACAGAATGACCTTGAACATTAGTCTAAAATAACACTCAAAGCACTGCAGGGATACACACTCATGATGAGTAAATACATTGGACTTCTAATACTTGCAGAATGTGCTTATTCTCTTTTAAGCTATACTGCATTGTTTCAAGGGGGCCTTCTTCCTAGTCAAGATAATACTACCATCTGGTGGCTGAGTTGTGTAATGTCACAAGATGGAGAGAATTGCTGGCAAGCTGTCACTGTTTGGGAATGCTCGGAAAAGTTCCCAAGGGAACGACATAAGGGCCGTCTATTACGAAGAATCAGCTACGCTCTCTAGGGAGCACAATGCTGCTCTTCATCTGGCAGTACAATGCAGCACCAGTCACTCTCTGCACTGCCTCTGCATCTGACGCCCGCAAAGTAGATTCTGCAATGACTGATTGTGGCTGAGATGAGAAGGACTCTTTTAAAACATTTGACTGTGTTCAAGCTCATATTTTTGCTGGACCACTTATAAAATCATGTTGCACATCACATACTCAAATGGAATACAAGCTCAATTGTTCATTCAAACAAAGAAAATATCACATATGCATGGACCAAACACACTCAGTATTCATTTTATAATAAATTCAAAAACGAAATCTAAGAGTAGGTCTCTGATTTTCTGTCATCCTGCAAAACATCTCCACTTATTTTATAATCTGACTTATCGAACAGTTGTTGATATAAACAGCTTTATCATCGAAAACAACCCAATAGTTACTTGTTTTGCTGTATGCTGGATTTTTGTCTTGAAACCACACATATTATATATTAGTGACATGCATATGAACTGTGATTCACTGAGTGATCCTGTCTGGATATTAAATATGCTGCACAAGATGGTTTTTAATGTTTATTTATGAGCTATGACATTTGATAGAAAGTATTGGACCACACTATGATTGATTTAGAAAAACTCTGAAGACATTTGTTTCATTAAATGATTTATTGACATTTACTTTTTTCCCACCATGGTTTCTCTTGATACCAATAGTATTTACCATAACGTTTGTTTTTCATTTAAATTACATTTATAATGTTTTACTCACATACACATTTATTGTTAAATCTTCTTATTGCAATAAACAAGAGTAGCCAGAATGAGTCAGGTATTGCTACAGTTCGCCATACAAACTCTTTGTCCCCTCTGACAATGAAATTCAAAAATAACTTTATTGGCAAGACAAAATTACACCAAAGCCTCTCCATCTCTCTCTGTCTCTGATATGAGAGAGGCTGAGGGCAGAATAAGGCTAAGGCTAGTAGCCTAAACACAGCTAACATGAAATACCTTCCCAGAAAGTAGGAATCTAACATTTATTTCCCATAATGTGAATAATGAGGATGAAATAGTGGGAATAACCACAGAATGAACATATCCGCGGTGCTGCTACTTGACGGACCTACCAGGGATAAGACTGCACTGTTTTGATTTGGCTTATTGATCAAGATTCGAGAATCCAGGATGACTGATCAATATTTTCAAAACAAAACATGCAGGTTTTTGTCTCCATTATTGTGTTAGGCCACATTATAGCTCCAGGTTGCCTTTGTCTCAGATTGTAGGGAGGTGGGGATAGAGTAGGTCCCAACACACACTAAAATACATATGGTACACACACCAACAGGAAAGAGAGCACAGATCCTGGAAAAGTATCTTACTCACAAAATGAACTCTGCAAAAAAAGTTTTGTTCAGCAACAAAAAGAGCACAACGGTGGAAGCTGACAAGTCAGCTTCTTCTTTAAGTCATGGCATTTCTAATGATCCTCAGGATTTTCACTTAAACACATTTCTCACACACACAGAAAAAAATGCAACTCAGATTCAACTGAAAGTAAGCATGTTGAACAATTCTAGCTTTAATCCCTTGATACCTGGTGTTGTACCCTGTTCCCCAAGCAGAGATTACCAAAGTAAAAAGGCCCTTTAATATGAAGGGTCGGTCCGTAAGCCCAGCTACACCCCCCATCTCTCTGTCCCTCTCTGAAGCCTTTCGAGGGCCTGTACTCCTCATGGAAGAACAGAAAAGGCTGTCAGCTGGTGTACTCCCAGTTTATACATGACTCCAGAAAACATGTCACAATGATAACAAGTCACTCTGATAAAAATTGCTCATTGCATTGCAATATTCAGACAAAGGTAAGACATTAGAGCTCATTGCTTCTCAATGAAAGGGCACAGTGTACATCTCGTTCAGCAAAAAAGGTTTACTGCCGCTGCTTAGCTAGCTTCTGTCTGTCTCTCTGCAGTCAGGTGGTCTGCTTACACTCTGTCTGGGTCGACTCTTATATAATCCACCATCCTATAATTCCACCCTGCAGTTTTTAACATTTGCTACCTACAAAAATATTGTTATTGGGATTCCTATTTTGCTCTTTTTTATGTGTGATATAAATGCAAACCAACAGTCCGAAGCAAACAAAACAAAGTGCTCACCAGTCTTTGTAAAAGAAAACAAATCATGGTGCATTTCATGGCTTTCACTTGTAAGACGGAAAGAATCGTAGATGCTTCCAGCCTGACGTCTCGGCTCGCAGGCCTCCGAAGCCTCGCTGGGCTTCTGGCTCGGTTGTCACTCCACTCAACTTCCTCTCTTGAATTTGTTCGCTTTGAGCATTATGGTTGCCACTGTTGATGTGCCCCCTGCTACAGACTCTGAACCTTTGGAGATGGGGGAGGTGAGAAAGAGGAGGAGGATACAGCAGCTAATGGAAGAATTCAACCCAATGATACAGAAGCCTGACCTTGCAGGATCTTATAACGAGGCCGCATGCAACACGTCATAAATACATCAGTACAGAGGGTCACACCTAGTCATACCTCCCCACCTACACAGTGAATCAGCCTGCGAATAATGACCAAGGTGAAGTGAGGAGGTCAATAACTTTCCTTTTTATAGCTTAATATGAACTGACGTCTCACCAAATAAATATATGAACTATGCTCTCTCATACATCTCTCATGACTGTAAGTAAAAGAACAGATTCTTGCCACCAATTAAAGCAAAAAATATAGATCATGTATCAAATACTGCAGTACAGTATGTACCAATGCATCTTCTGCTGTTTCTCACATCCTTTTTCCTCTTAAGTGAGGCCCTTCTCTGACTGATATAGATGTTGACACATGTGCCCTGTAGCGTTTTTTGTTGGTGCAGTCTATTTTAAAACAAAGATTTGTTCGGGCTGCCGGAGGTCAATCCATCCTCTGACCCGTGCCAGCCCTCCTCTCACCTCGCAGTCTCAGGAAATGACGGGGGTGTGCGATACCCCACAGTCACTTTTCTGCTCTTTTAACCCCCTCCCACCATCAAACTACCACCTGCCTGTCAGACAAGTGATGTTGTATCTAACAAAGACCTAATGTCACAAAGTTGTTGGCCTCTGGCGCAGAAGGGGTCATGTTTAGTGCTGTGAAGGTCACCACAGCTACATGTGCCGCAAACAGTGAAGACCGATTGAAGCAGCTACCCTACTGACATAACATTATTGTCTTGGTTTTGAGGTGCATAGGATGAGAAGAACACGTTGAGTCGTGATGACAGGAGAAAACCAACCGGGCCCAGAATAATTTTGTAACACTACATGTGGTTTAATGTTTCTTGAAAGGTGTGCATGAGTTTGTTCTTTAGCTATTGAGGCGGCCATGACAGGGCCACAGTGCAAGGGAGAGGAACCAGGGGAGGTGCGAGATGTTCAAGGGAGTTCAATGCATAATGAAAATGTTCTCCTCAGCTCAGTCCATCCATGGATCACTCAGAAGTCTTTGAAATGGAGGGAAAGTTTCTGGTAAAGGGAAAGAAACACAATTTAACTCATTCCACCGCTCCTTTCCCTTGCATTTGTCTAAGTTCAATATTTAAATGGTTGGATTTTTTCCCCTTATCAATTGCTGTTTGTTGATCATGTTTGTATCTTCACAGTGTGCTTTTGGAGTGGCTGTTCCTGACTGGCCGAAGTCAGGGGGTGATTAGTCAGTAGGGGGAGAACAGTATCGGCCCGTGGGTGGTGCGCATGGGCCCGGGCGCGGGTCTCAGGATGGCGTGGCTGAGAGGCGGGCCTTGCAATAGGTGATGGTGGTGGTGGTGCCCCGGAGCTGCTGCACGGAGAGCCAACTGGTTCGAGGACGCTGCAGCGGCCATTGCTGCAGCAACAGCCAAGGGGCTGGGCAAAAGCCCTGCACCCAAAGCTTTGGAGAGATCTTTGGAGAAGGTCAAAGAAGACTGCAAACAGACGGGGGATCACAGCGAGACACAAGACAAGAGAGAGAGAGGGATACAATTAGTTCCAGAAGTTTAACACATGGAGGGGAAACAGATATAGACCTCCCTCTCCAGACTATTTTAATTTGTAGTAATACAGATGTTTCAGTAAAATTGAGTTCATATCTTTCAGGAGGAGGTCATAGTAGAAAACAGTCAAACTGGCAGGCTTTTAGAAAGAAAAAAAACACACGCTCTAACCACTACAAGGCACTGTGGACCTCATGTTATCCATTATCGTTCTCTATCTGATCTGTGTCACAGGAGAGGTCAGAATTCAATAGTAAAACTTGAAAAGTTACCGTCAGATCAGCTATCCTGTGCTTCTTATGTCGGCTGAGGAGGGGATTAGGCTTGCCTGCCATGCCGTCCCGGTGCCTTCGACTTGATATGTGCTGCAAGGAGGGAACACAGGAACACAACTTATTATCAATTGTGAAAAACAAAGGGAACATTTGACATATTAAAGGGTCAAAAAATGACAAAACACCATATATCTTTGACTCTTGACCTCTTTTTGATAATGAAGACTTTACAATGTGCTCAAAAGAAAAGGGTATTTCTTCCATTATTAAATAATGTTGGTTATCACAAAACACTTGGCATTAAATCATCTCAAGTTATATTGTATGTAATGTACTTTAAACATAAATAACAAATCCAAATAATTCATAAATACATGCACACTTTCTCCCTCCTACCTGTTTGAGTTGCAGTTCAGAGTTGACCCGCACATTGCAGATCTCACAGTGGAAGGTTCGTTCCTGAGTGTTGGGGTCCACCGGCCCCCCCGCCTGCTCTCCAATGGGCTTGGGGCCCAGACGAGGATACGCCTTGATGGGGCCCAGCCCGCTCCGTGCCTCCAGGATAGTTTTGTGTTTGGTACCTGCAGGCAGACACACAACAGCAATGTCATCAACCAAGATGAAATTATATGTTTAGAAGCTAATGGAATAAAATGAAATAATGCAGTGGAGATGCATCACTATTTATAACATTCGAGTCATGCCACTTCAACCTGTCTGAAGTCAAATGAGTCTGGACAGCATTTCTCTGAAACTCATTACAGTGATGTTGAAATAGTGACAGAGACAAATATCAGGGCATGAAAGAAAAGAAAATGTACCTCTGGTCTGTTTCTATAATAAATGACATATGCTCAACATACAGTACAGAGCGTGTCTCTGTATAAAGTTGTAGTGGTGCGTTTCTACCACAAGAGGGCTGCAGTCAGACAGCTGCTGGAAGACAACTCAAAGGCCTCTAATGATACATTAATGCTACAATAAGTGTTTTTTGATTCAGTGGAGTGGGTAAGATACTACAGACGGTGTGCACTACAGTAACGTATATTACCACATGTACCAACATCATTGACAGCGCTGTACTACTGAACCCTTTCTGTCAAATTCAATAATGTCGACTGTAAATGTCAAATGGGAAATTTAAGACCAAGTTATAATAGGAAGCAGGTTTGTCTGGTTGGAATGTTTAGGGCTGAGCATGACACCTGTACTTTTTACTCTTTCACAAAATATTTATGTAATGGCATAGCATCATTTCAACAAGCCATAAAAAAGCATTGCTTTTTGTAATACGAACGGGAAAAGGAGTTCATGTAACACTTGATTAATTCTACAGAGTAATCAAAATAGGGCCTCGAGTCAATACAGAAGGGTTTGTTTAAAACTATTACATCCAAAACACAACAGATGTGTTTCTTGGCAAGACATATATGGTTACGTGTAAACTCAGACCTATTAATGATCACCCTGCTATTATTCCAATCAAGACTCCTGCCAGAATAAAAACGTACTCAGCAATTCAAAGAAGATATTCACTCAGATGTTGTCATAAAATATTTCCACCTGCTAAAATGTTCTTTACAAGAGATTCTAAACAGTGGGGGTTCATGTTTAATGCATATAAATGAAGTATTTCCATGTGCATTGTTTTCTTAATTTGAACAAATCCCACCCCAGGGGGCTGCATTTTCAAAGGAGACGACACAGAGAGATGTGCTGTGACACATGGCTTTCCCTTAAAAATGGTCTGCAGTACACCAAAGAGTGTACTGCAGACCCTCTCATTAAATAATCACACATTTTATTTTATCCATGGCTGAAACATTTAGTCATGCTCCCCCATCAACCCCTGAGCCTCTCTACCAACATCTCACTGTCTTCAGCTCTGACTTTGACTGACTTTCTAAAATCCCTTTGAACACAGTTAAGGTTACAGAAGAGAGAGAAATGGTTGGGGTGGGGAACATGGAGTCTGTGGGCTGCACTGAGGAGGAAGGGGCCGGGATGACGGATTTCGTTCGGGGGCCAGAAATGTGCTCTTGGGTTGTCTGTTTTTGCCTTTGTTCTATTTTGGTCTGACAATGGATGGCCCAGTGGATTTGTTGTCTTTGTACGGTTGACTCTTAGTGTAGACCTACACACAAGCACACAAGGCACATTTGAAAACACAGAAATAGGTTGACTGTAAACTGTTGAAATAACATTACGCACACATCATTTTTTCTCTTGTTTTGTCTTTTCTGCTTTCTAATTCAGTGCCATGCACGCTGCTCATGTCTGCATGACATATGCTTTCACTTTTTATCGCTGCTAACACAGTTCTGATTTTGAAAACGAGTGAAGGTGATTGTTTCCAGATTGTTTCCTACATAGACTTGTAGACTTGTAGCTGTTACAAGCCTTTGCTATTCAGGGGTTGCACTTTGGAGCCAGGGGACAACAGGCTGTGACTCAGGGGCTTGTTTATTAGCTGTAATCCACTGTACTGTTTTGTGTGTGATCTCTTTTGATACTGACATGTGCATGTACTTTGTAAACATGCTAGTAGGCAGATGTAGCACAAATGTATTGTTGTGAAGGTGTTAGACTGATATACAATCAATTAGCGCACGATAAAGCATACATTCTTTCAACCAGAAGGTTGTGGGTTCGATCCCAGCCTATGCAGTCAACATGTCGATGTATCCTTGGGCAAGATACTTAACCCTGAGTTGCTCCCGATGGCATGGCCAACGGTGTGTGAATGTGTATGCATGTTAGGTCCTAGAGTAACATACACTGCTCTGTATGCATGGGTGTGAATGGGTGAACGACATATAGTATGTAAAGCGCTTTGAGGGGTCTTAAAGACTGGATAAAGCGCTATATAAGTACAGTCCATTTACCATTTTACATTCCAAAAGCCTTCCTGAGGTTAATCTAACAATAATGGTGGCAGTGATTGCACTTTTATTGATTTATACTTTATTAAACCTTAAGAGGTATTTGTTGGCTGCTTTATGTCTGGCTGAGCTCTTTGCACCAAACATTACTCAATGCAAATGGATACAGTTACATACTTGGCCAGTCCTTCATTGTCTGATGAGTCTCAGTAGTTTTTCTAATGTGTAGGAGAGTGTATAAATAATAAAGAGTGGAGGTCCGCAGATACAAACTGTCCTCACAGGGACACAAGGTCACACAGAGAGCCAAGTTGGTAGTGCATAAAGGATTAAAGCAGGCAGCAGCGGGCACCTCAGGGGTAAGAAAAAGACAGTGTTGTCTGACAGAATGTTAGAGCTGGTATTGTAGTGAGCTCAGCCACATAACATATTTTTCTCTTATTTCCTCATGCAGTGGTTACCCGTATTAACCATCCTCCTCTGAAACTATCTCAAGTGGAAGGCTTCAGGCTATGGGGAACAGTTGTTATGCTGCGTGGTGCAAAGACAAATCATGAATGTTTGAGTGGGGGAGTTTTTTTTTTTTTATAAATGCGTGGGTGAAGTAAGTGGGGTGTGTTAGCAGGGTGCAGCATGGAGAGAGCACACACACACACACACACACACACACACACACACACACACACACCACACACACACACACACACACACACACACACACACACACACACACACACACACACACACACACACACACACACACACACACACACACACACACACACACACACACACACACACACACACACACACACACACACACACACACACACACACACACACACACACACACACACACACACACACACACACACACACACACACACACACACACACACACACACACACACACACACACAGGTGAGGCACCTTGACAGAGCTTCAGTAGAACAGTGCTCGATTACATAGGTCAAGCCCGTCAGTGTCAAACAGATCAGTTATCTGCTGATCACTGTTATTCTCATACCCTCTGCTGGCAGGTCATTAACTGTGATGGAACCTACAGTCAGGGCAGCCAGATATCTCACTGTGTGTTTGTCTATCTGTCTACAACTTTGAGAAACCAAAAGTAAGCGAAATAATGACAATACGTGTTATTTTAAATTACAACTGACTGATTCATTTATATATAAATATTTACGAGAGAATGTGAAAGCACTTTAATAGTAAACCAGTGTTTTCAATTAATTTCCTGTCAGAAATAGACACGTTTTGTTTTCTCTGAGCCTAGTAATTGTATTGACATTGTCTACAAGTGTATTGTATTTACAACCATTTCACATTTTTCATACTTTTAAAGTATTTATTTTAACCCATTTGAGAAAGTCGTGATATTTAGAAGTTGCTACATTTGTCTTTCTTGGCAAAATTCCTAGGACACAACAGCAACAGCAGTGTGGTTTGAGTAAACAGAGAATAACCAAACATGTCTGAAAAGATAGAGGGGAGAAAGTTCCCACTCCAGAAACTCATATTTAATCCCAGAAGCTCCAAGATCACCACAGTTTATTCTCCATGCTTTAATTTCCAGCGTGTTTCTGGACAGAGCAGAAGCAGTATTTCAATGTATCAGAGCTCATATAATAACCCACCTTTGTTGTGGGCCTCCAGCTGTGACAGGGAGTTGACAGCCACCTTGCACAGTGAGCAGTACAGCAGCTTCTTGGCCTTGTCCTCCTCTGTCTCTGGATTGGACGGGCTGGGGGCCGTGCTGCCGACGGCTCCTGAAACAGGGGGTCCAGATCCAGGCTGCTCTGAGCTGGGGCTGCCAGTGCCGCAGCCGGGGGAGGATGAGGACGGTGGGATCAGAGGAGGAGTGGGGGTGGGCAAGAGGGGGCACACCGAGGGCATGGAGCAGTCCATGGGTATGGCAGGCGGGTCGATAAGAGGGGTAAGGGGCCCCGGGGCCAGCAGGGGCACGGTTAATTGTGACAGAGGTCGTGTTTCATCTAGAAAAACAAAGAAGAAATATAATTGAAGTCAGATGCAATGCAAAGAAAAATCTAAGAACAGATTTTGTGGTCTAAAAGTACATAACTCAAATAATAAAGTGTTTTATTATTGACTTCATTGTCCTTAAACTCAGCCATGAAGCACAGTCCCCCTGAAATAAACTCTATGCCTTGCTTAACCACATGACTTACCACTCCCAGTTAAATCTGCTGCGTAGATCAAACAAACCAACATAAAGCGCTTGCAGACGGAAGGGATTTTTATTTCCTTTATTGGCTATAATTGGTTAGAAAGAGTTCCTTTTAATTTAAGTTATGTGAAGTGGATCAGAGGAGGAAAATGTACTGTATACCCCATATGTGTCAACGCATGGCCACGTGTTTAATATGTTTGAAGGGTTTTTGAAGTTTTCAAGCCACTCTTTCACTGATGTGGTCTCATCTTATTAAATATTTCCGAGGAGAGGAATCGGAAACCACAGCCTGTGCATGTTCTGACTCTTTCCAACACACCTGTTGTTTTTGGCTCGTTTGAAGAGGAAATGGCACTTGCTTTGTCACAGTGCAAACCATGAAGTCCAAAGAATATTCCATTGAGTGAGATCTCCTTTCGCTCTCTGCTCACTTTCACCTCTGTCGTTTTTTGTCTTATTGTTGCATGTGTTTGATTGCACGAGGTTCACTTTGTCTTGTTTCAACATGTTTATACATATATTTCCAGACATATGTTTCTGGTCAGCCACTCCCCTACGCAATGCCTTCGGTATTCACTAAGCAATGGGTGTTGGCTGAAAAAAGACCCACCAGAACTCCCCCCATCAGAAGACCCTTCTCCACAGGATGTACTGTAGTGCAGAGGTTGGGCAAGGGAAAGCCCTCTGGATTATGGTATTAAAGGGGTCACATGGAGTATTTTATGGGAGAAAAGAAATATTGACTTTAACTGCTCAATTCCATTTTAAGGATTTCCATAAGATTGGTCATTTTGGCACATGGCAGTCAACAGGGGTTGTGATATGTTAAGCTATGGTGACAATGTGGTCATTTGTCTAATGTATCTCTGGCTACTCCAATGCATTTCAGAATAAGACATATTTGTGAATGCTTTTCATTCCATTGCTATCCAAGATCTAAATTATCTTTCTTTCCATATTCTGGAAGTTTCCAGCTGCAAATATGCTGGCTGTATTTGTTGAATCTATTTGTTGTTAAAAAGGGAAAAGAGAAGACCTTACACTGACTCAATATGGCATTTAGGAGTCCATAAACCAGGTCTAGATCAAGTGTAGTGTAAGGGTAAGTGCTTTATGGAGAGGTTTTTGACTCACAACATGCTTACTGTAAGTTGCCACATCACTGCCTGAGCTGATTAGGTTGATTGCAGAGTTTAAACCTACAGGAAGGCGGAATGATCGAGAAGTAGTTTGTTTTTTTCTAGTATTGTTTTAAAATGTTGCCCACACACAGAGACGTACTCATGCACATGGCTTCATTGCAATGCCAAACCCCTAATCTGCGAGGTCCGCAACATGTGGCTTGAGTTAAAATCAAGTGTGGAGGAGTAGAGGTGGTAGGCCAAATAGTAATTATGGATTTCGTGATCCATGATGGCCTGGAGGTCTGTCGTACCAAACCATCACATCCAGGCCCTGCTTCACCTCATACCACAGTGAATGCCTTTTGCACTCAACCCCCCCTCAGACCCAGTTCAGCTTGAGGCTAACCCTGTGGGGCCTCCATAGCCGCAGTCATTCAGTGTCTATGTCAGCAACCCAAAATTACAATCTCGCTGAGCAGCAAAGTGTTTCCCTTTGTCTTATTTACTGACTAAAATGAAATGCATGTAAGACTCATTCTAGATTTGCTATTCTCTCCAAGTGGCGGGGATAAATTGCTATGTTTTTCTTGTCCTGAGAATCCAACTGTCAGAGTTATTTGAATCCCCAGAAAATGAGGATATACTGTAAGCCTAATCAAACATTGATAAGGAAGTTAACTGACCTTCCCTGAAAGCTGGCCTCATATCCAAACAGAGGAAGGCATTATTCATTGGGAGAGGTCAGCAGAGGGATATAACTCAGTCCAGATGCTCTTCCCTATAGCCTGGTGTGTCTGCATTGCCTTAATCCACCTCAGGAAATTAAAGCTATGTATAGTATGCAGTCTATGGGGAGAGGTTATGTCGATATAGCCGTGGGATTTAATAGAGACTAATTCAGACCAAAACCACTTCCTTTGTTTGCAGCACAAGTCAAAGTTCATCTTGATTCCTTAAAGGCAGAATGAGTAGGATCTTTCAGTTGCTGTTTGTTAACACAATATTCAAAGTTGGCCCCTCCTCTGCGGCTCAACAACACGAGAAGTGCACGCCCCATGACCATAGATAGAGATATGTGCTCGCCAGAAGGTGAAAGTCAACCCCCTATCGATTTGGAACAAGCTTTGTCTGCTTGCTGTTTCGCTTCACTTTATTTACATTTCTTCATCGCTGTGCCACGCATCTTTGTAGTATCCTCTTTGATGAGTGCTTACGATCTGGCATTGGTTTACTACGTGTTTATATGTTGACACCAAGGAACTTCCCCAAACACAACAACATATGAAAATACAGGGAGAAGGTGCCAGGTTCTCCACGAATCACTGAGAGCAGTTCATATTGTACAAGTTTAAACATTTGATCTGCCTTTAAGTGTTAAGCATTGTCTATTTTGTGATAGCTTCTTGAAAATGTAAGTAAATATCTGATTGTAGGGCATAAGATATATTATAAAACAGTGCCTAAAAGCAATTTGTTGCAGCGAAGAATGTAAGAGATCTCCTAGCATCCGAAACCAGAAACAAGTGTGCTTTTTGTTGTTATATAAATTGTAATGTTGAAAGCAGAAGAACATGGTTATTGCTATTATCAATCCTGGGTGCAGGGGGAACGTTGTGCAGAGTTGGATATGCTTTGTTTATTTCACACGAGGAATGAAAGATGTGCAATTTAAACCCAGTAAACAGATTACAGAGACTTGCATTCGTGTGAGATACTTTTATAGCAGAACTGGCCAATTGACTTTGTGGTTATGATAACTTGTAAGTAGGTCCATGTTTCTATGTGTGTCTGTTTGTTGTGTGGAATTGTTTTTGTGTGTGTTTGTGAGAGAAAGAGCTATCAGGATGCAGGGCTACTTAAGCAGTATGACGTCTGCCACTAGTGCCTATTCTTAATGATTTAAGATATAAGTAACCTAATGCTGCCCCAACGTGAGCCGATCCTCATTTATAATGCAGCTTGGTGCCTTTTTCCAGAGTCTGGCCTTCTTCCGAACACACACACACACACACACACACACACACACACACACACACACACACACACACACACACACACACACACACACACACACACACACACACACACACACACACACACACACACACACACACACACACACACACACACACACACACACACACACACACACACACACACACACACACACACACACACACACACACACACCACACACACACACACACACACACACACACACACACACACACACACACACACACACACACACACACACACACACACACACACACACACACACACACACACACACACACACACACACACACACACACACACACACACACACACACACACACACACACACACACACACACACACACACACACACACACACACACACACACACACAGCATGAAGTAATGTGTAAAAGATACTTATGTTGACTATTCAGGTTGATTTAATCAAATAGCTTACTTTAGAAGAAAATTAAAACTGCTGAATTCCCTGAAAACTCCAAGACTAACAACAAATATAGACGGAGCGTGAAAAGCACATCAGCTCTGTGTAACTTAATACTAAAGTAACCTCATAGCCATGCAACCCTAGCCTTCACATGAAAGTCATCTGTTTAATTGAACTTGTGTGTGTGCGCCTGTGAGTGTTTGTGTGGACTAAAGAGTGCTATAATGTCAGGGTGGTTTTAACATGGCCCTTCATTAAAGTAGGAGTGTCAGAGAGCAGAGGGATGGCGAGGAAGGGAAAGGGGGAGGGAAGAGCAGAGTTTCTCTACAAGTAAACAGCTGTCTCTCCGTTATTCAGCCAAACCCCTCGGCTCACCAGACCAAATCCCCCAAAGCCAAGGGCCTGCTCTGTAGGGGCAACTATGACAGCAAACTATTTGAGTGCTATAAAACTTGAGACCTGTTTTGATAGCCATGAGGTTAAAGAAACATCAGCACTGACATGACTGACCTTTCACTGTTTCAGCCATCAGCAAGGTCACAATAAGTCCTGATATACTGTCATCACTGCTGGATGCATTTGATATGGTAATGAGAAGTGATGCAGTGTAAGGTTACCAGACCAAAGCTAGTCTGTACTACTACACTGTATCATATATGAATGTCTCAAAGGATATATTTCAGAAAATCCTTTGCAACAGATCAGTCACAAAAAGATCCACAACAACAACTGCTCGGTGATTTAGGAGATTTGCACTGAGGGACATATTCTCCTCTTTCTTCCATCTGTGTGCTTGCACTGGCCTGACAATATTGTTTGTGTATGTGTGCATGCATTGTATTTGTCCGTTTCAGAGAAAATGCCCCAGAGTGACCAATGTTGATGTTCTCAGGCTAAAACAGTGTCCCTTCTCCCGCTTGCCCAGTTGAAGACACACACAGCTGCCTGAGTTCTGTCCCCCTACCATGAAGCAGAGGGACAGGATCACACTGAGCACATGCATAAACACACACATTCACAAACTCACAAGCAACCGTGCATGTGAAAGACCATGAAGTGACAGAGTTCTAGGGTCACGAAAAAGAGGCTTGGATGGAAAAAGGCATTCTTTCACATGTAGCTACTTTCAGATATCGGTCATGGCAGGCTTGTTTTGGCTCCTCAATCTTTTGGAGTTCGCCACGGGAAGTCTTACTAATGGCGACAGGCCTGGAGCTGATCTCAGATCCCTCCCTTGAGGGAAATAGAGTGAAAAGGACTGGCCCTCCTACTACTCTGAGATCAAATACTATAAATTGTGTGTTATTGTTGTGCATAAAAAAAGTCTCAGGTACATGCTAAGGTCTTTGCTCTGGTAGGATGTTGCATTTTGGCCTTTACTGGACCTGTGTTTCCTCTTTTCATTTAATGTGTTTGCTCTATTCCCTCCTGTGAATACTAGTACAAATGTCTGGTAAACAGTCAGCTACAGAGACCTCTGTAAATGTCACCAAAACATGGCCGGTCTATTCAATGCCTAGTGTTTGATCCAAGGACAGAGTGGTGACACTGAGGGAATGGAAACCAAATCTGTGTGGAAAAAAGGACAAGGGCAAAGGCACACAGCACTCTCCGTCTGAATTATAGCTCGAAATAGGAAGATGAGCAAGACTGGGAGAGAGAAAGTAACACTGAGACAACAGAGACAGCGCTAAAGAGATACTGCTAAATAAAGAGCTTGCAACACCTCGAGCATTTCCCTACGTCCTTACTTACCAATACATTAATTGTTCAACAGTGAATTACTCTTCATTAAATTCAGATCATCTGCTGTCTTTGTGCTTTTAGATGCTGGATTAGATTGGTGTCATCTTTATTTTTCTCAATAAGTCTTTGCACTCATTACCACCACCCTGGGCTCAGGCAACATGGTCTATTTTGACTCGGTGGCAAATGGTATTGCACTTCAATCACTCACTAAGAAGTACACACACACACACACACCATGTATACATCACTTCAGGGGACATTACATTGACTTACATGCATTTCCTGGAGACTTATCCTAACCTTAACCATAACCAACACATGCCTAACCCTAACCCTTAACCTAACCAAGTCTTCACCCTAAAATTAATGATTCCCCTCATGGGGACCTCCAATTTGTCCCCATAAGGGAGGCGAGTCCCCACACGTGACTGTGTAAACAGATTTAGGTCCCAACAAGTATAGTAATGCTAGGCCACACACACACACACACACACACACACACACACACACACACACACACACACACACACACACACACCACACACACACACACACACACACACACACACACACACACACACACACACACACACACACACACACACACACACACACACACACACACACACACACACACACACACACACACACACACACACACACACACACACACACACACACACACACACACACACACACACACACACACACACACACAACACACACACACACACACACACACACACACACACACACAACACACACACACACACACACACACACACACACACACACACACGGGGGATTCTTGAACCACCATGTTCAAGCCAACTCACCTGCTCACCGCCTAATGAGAAGGACACTAAACCAGTTTAACATAGCTCAGCAGACAAAGCATTGCTGTGGTTGGACTGGACTAATATGAGAATAGACTGTGGTACAGTAATGATGCTTTTACTTTGATCAACCTGTCATTCAGAAAACGGGACACCTGACATCTGGTATGGTTGGTCTACTCCTCTCTGTGCTACTCAGCTGTCCAACAGATTAGATCATTTAACGTTGAAACCCTTAGCCAAAAAGGCCTATGACCTGTATGAATAATGCAATAGTATCACTGATGACAGTATACATTTACTATACTATATATAATATTTGGCCAAGTAGCTAACACTAACAGTTGTAAGTATGTTGCTTCTTTTACCAGCATATACAACTGATTATATTCAACTAAATTAGTCAGAATACATTTATATTTTGTTAGGTTTGTGACAGCGTTTTGTTTTAGGCTTCTCAAACTTGTTTTTAGATAAAACAGTTCGTATAAACTCCCCTTCGGGTATCTGATCATAAACTGTTCTCATCAAATACACCATGACTATCAAACTGTAGTTTATCCATAGTGACCCAACGCTTTAAAGTTATTTTTTAAATGTACTTCAATGTGTCCAGGGTTACAGAAGGAACGCATTTCTTTCTCCTGAATTTCCCCACAGGGAAAAATAAAAAGGTCAATTGTATCTTATTTTCAATTCAAATACACTTAATCTGTTGTTACAAATAGTTATGTCGACATGAAGCAGATAATCAAGCATAAAAAGTCCTGGCATCTAAAGGTGTGGTTTGATGAAAGAATGCAAGTGAATATGTGAGCCCTTTTAAAGTGCAAATAGTTTTGTGTGACTGTAACCGTTGGCCATAAGCTCTGCTGCAACCCTGTCGGACCACACAGAGAGCCGAGATGCTCAGAACAACAAACTGTAAAGCCACTGTGATTAGATGCCTTTGTTATTCTTGCATATTTTCCACTTCAATTTTCAGCAAAACGATAAGCCTTTAAACATCCCACACAGATTCTGAAAGGTTTTCTGTTTCTATTCCTACTGTTTTTAGAAATCATACCATGTTTTATATTTTCTGCTGTCTCACCCGCTTTGCTGGGCTCGTTGTCCGTGGCGGGGCCAAGGGCGCCGGGTGGAGAAGGGGAGGAGGTGGTGGGCACAGTGTGAGGCTTGTCCCCATCCTGAGGGCGACTTTTAGAGGTCTCGATGCCTTTGACTCTCCTGGCATGCCGGTTTCCTTTGTAATGGGCTTCTGCCTGGCTCTACAGGGAAACATGGAAATATACATGTTATGGTGTGAGTGAACAACAATGCCAACAGGTGAATACACATTGCAGGCTGGATTAGAGTCACTGTGACACCAGCACACACACTGTCATTACGATAGCATGTTATTCAATGTACTCTTGGGACTGGAGCCATAAAAAGCAGGAAGATTTACAGTGGATAAATATATAACAAGCTTTGGAACAAAAAGGTACAATGATGCAGAGAGGGAGACATTTGAGACATTGACCTGTCTGCGCCCCTTGTCCCTTTGTCATCCTATTGTCCAGTTTTCAAATTAACAATACATTATCATGAAGCTCAAAGTCTTGACATACGTCCTCTGCAGTCTAATTCTCTACATACAAACTTGGCTCCAGCTTTCATTACTACAACCATGCTGACAGACATGCCAAGGGAAGTTCAACTGGGGGTCAGTGGGATGCCACACTATCTGCCTGGAGGGCCAATAAGTCACTCCCTGACAATACCCTCCCTCTTACACACATTAACACACATGTTAATATTCTAGTCAGAGTGGAGCACGACTCATGACATTTCCCTGTTTGATTTTTATATTTGCTGTTGTAATTTATTGTCTTCTGTTTGCGATTGTAGTAATGTGTTATTTATTATTTGCATGTACAGCACTTTGGCTCGACCAAAAATCGTTTTAAAATGTGCTATATAAATAAAACCTGATTTAATTTTATAGAAGTAGACATTATCACTGAGAGCCTCAGGCAGACATGTGCTCCTGCAACATAAATATGGCCTTCAGCTGCTGCCTAACAGGGTCAGGCTCAAATACAATCCCAGACCTATACATACAGACTATGCATGCAAAGACCCTGTCTGAAATATCTCATAGAAAGATAAAATGTGGATCCGGACCCTGAGTCTGGAGGTTTCCAGGGACTGGTGGTCTTTCTGCATTCCAGCAGAGAAAACAATGGGCAGAGATATATTACAGAAGCTAGTGCGGCTAATCTCCTGATGAAAGGCTAGCTACTAGCTAATGTGTTTGTTCACAGAGTAAACAACAGAGGCAAGTCATTCATCATGAGAGAGACAACAGGGGAGTCTGTATGTACTCTGTGTATGTTTGTGTGTCTGCACAGAGGTATGCGAGTCTGGGGCAACATGGCGGATGAGATTCAGGGTTGCTATACTAATCTGTCACCAGTTAGTTAAGCTTCACCGTTGACTGTTGAAAAAAAACACAGAAACACACACAAGGAGTATTCATGTAACCATAGTTTCCATCTGTTCGCCTATTATTTATCTCCCCTTTATCATTGATCAAGTAAGGGGTGGGAATTAATAAGCATTTGCTTCCTTCTCCTACTCCTTTTCAGACACATATGATTTTTTATTATTATTATTAATATGAAGACTTTTTTTGTATCATGAATGTGGATAAATACTGTATTTTAACAATACGTTATTCTGTTTTTTCACATTTGTTATTTAAATTTTTTTAATCTGTTCGAAATAAAGATAGAAATGAAATCATGGTCTGTTAGAAGCACAAATAGGCTCTTGTTAATAGGGACACTTTATATCAGATAGTTCCCTGCTGTCTGAAGTATGTTGTCTAAGCAGAAGTGTCATGCCAGTCTGTCCTAGCCAAATATTTTTTCTATCGAGGGACCAATGTTGAAGATGATTATTAATTTTCTGGATTACAGTTAGTCGCCAGGGAGAGTCATGTTTTTCAAATCGCCTGGCGGCTAACAGGTGCTGAAAGGCTTGGACAATTTTAGACATCACACTGACCACAGGCTCAGACGTAGGGATAGACTGGCAGAGGGCAGTCGGTGATGAGTAACGTCCCTGTGCCCAGTCATGTGTGCTTTTTGTATGTGTGTGTTTGTGATGGCATCCAGGACGTGATCTGGCACGGTAAACCTGGGGCAGGGACTGAAGTGATTTAGAAGATAACATGTTTCTCGTAAATCTTGATAACAAACTGGGCTCTTGATATAGCAGACCCTCTTTAACTGAGGGGTCTTAAGTAGCTGCTTAAGAAAAGCCAGCAGATCAAGGTGGAGGGGGCTGTGGGTGGAAGAAGGGGGTGTGTCGTGAGGGCTGCTAAAAGAGAAGTGATTTCTCAGATGGAAAAAAGAAACAAGTGGAGATAGACGGGTGTAAGATGGTTTCTGGACAACCCAGTCTCATGGCATTTCGTGTTCACCAACACGATTTTTAATCTATTGAATCGTGTTCACCAACACGATTTTCCCATTTATTTCGTGTTGCACAGCACGATTTTAAAAGCAATGTATTTCTACTGGTAATGATGCTCATGGAAGCACGGCATTCGTTTGTGTCGGCTGCCCTTAAAGGCAATGTGAGCGTCCATTCTCATTGGATAACGGAGAATTGTACACCCGGAAGTAAGTATTCCCCTTACTGTCGATTGAGTTTACAGTGATATCTGCACTACTCATCGACTAAAAAACACCAGATTATCCTTGTTAATTACACAATATTGATTGGTTTAAATTGTGTGCAATGCTTTTGTATTTTTCCCCTTCGATTCGGAGAAACAAATATTTTTTCGGAGTAAAGGATAGCAGAAGACACTACACTACCCAGAATCCCCAGCTATCGTTTAGGACTACACCATGTGCTCTGTTTGACAAACCCCGTGATAGTCCTCAAGCTCTGTGATTGGAGAGTGTGCTCCGAGGGTTACGCCGAGCCTCGAACAGCACTTGAAATGGGATGGAACCACGGCAGACTGTCCAAAACTGGATTTGAACGGGTCTACCGCGTCCCCCCCTCCCCCACCCCGTCCCCAGAACTACACATGCTGGCTATTCTGTTTCGCAACATGTTCTCTATCTATGGCACGTCTCTACTGGGAGTTGTAGTTTTAAAATACGTTTTCGTATTTCCCATAATAAGAAGTTGCCAGTATTAAACTGTGTACATCCCTGAAAGTTTAGGGGATAGGAAACACTCACATTTAAAACATATAATTAATAAATGGGTGAAAATTGCTTGTGCCCATAATGGGCAGCATTAATATATATACACACATGCCAGCTAAGGTCAGAAAAGCTTTATTTAACAGCTGGTCTTATGTTTGTGACCCCTGTTGTTAATTGATAACATTACATTACATTAATTGATAAGTCTGAAACATGCACTTGTCAAGGTTCAGAGGCACATTTTTGCAAATATGGCAGTAGCCATCGATCAGCTTAAGATAAGATATACTTTATTGATCCCAAGTTGGAACATTTGCGTTACATCAGCATGTGTAACAGTTGTGTGCAGTGGTGTTTATTTGTAAATCATTTAGTATAATCCAGTGGTTCTCAAAGTGGGGGGCGCGCCCCCCCCAGGGGGGCGCAGAGGCATGACAGGGGGGGCGCGAGAGACCAGGAGGAAAAATGGTTATTACATTTTTTTTTTTTAAAGATAAAAAAAAAAAAAAAAAAAAAAAATCATATTTTCAAAGATTATTGATTCGAAAATAATATGATACAGTACTATTACGTCTGGGTCTCTGTGTTTCATTAAAGCTTGGCTCTGTGTGTGTGGAACGAGCCATTTTGTGTGTGTGCGGGAGCGAGAGAGAGAGCGCACCGGTACCGGAGATCGTTGATGTTAGCTTCTGGTGCTAGCGAGCTACGCCAACGGATATAAGGAGTTTTTTCAACAACAAAGTGGAGGAGAGTCCTCTCCTGTCAGACTGAGAGACTCAGTGAGCTAAAGGACTCTCAGTGTTATCTCAGTGGGTCTCAAACGTTTGGTCACCATTAATGTAAACAATTATTTCCGAGGCACACGTTTATATGATCATTATAGTTATACAAAAATAAGAGAATACATTAAAAACAGGTATGAAATACTATGACAGTAAAACAAGAATAAAGTTTAAAAGGGTGATTTGTAAAATATCCATAAAGAAATAGTAAATCTGTTTACAGTTCTGTGTTGAGAGAGGTATCCATAGATCTCTTCATTTTGCTCTCAAAGTGCACCAGATTGATGCTTTTAACTTCAATATTTAAAAACAAATCTTCCCGGGGGAGCTTGCCCCCGGAGCCCCCTAGAGGAGGTGAGGACCCCCTTAGAGGAGGTGAGGACCCCCCTATGTGAGGTCCACAAACCACCTATAAAAATAGCACTTTACCCCTACTTACACCTATATGCCGTGAGCTGATTATCGAGCCTTCATTGTAACAATCGCGGGTACATTGTGTATATGCGTGGGGAGTGTTGCAGTAGAAAATTCCTCTGTAGCGCCTCGTACATTAATGGGAAACCCTAAATGTTTGAGCACCCTCTATGAAACGTCAAGCTACCCCACAGTACCCGCAAAATAAATCTCTGGCGCCGCCACTGAGCCTGACTATTTGTGTTGGGGGGGGCCCGACTTTTTTTTTTCTCCAAAGGGGGGGCCTGACAGAAAAAGTTTGAGAACCACTGGACTATAATCACACAAATTCTGTGTTTTATATTTAACAATTCTGTGTTCTTTATTTAATGATTGTTCAATACCTGACAAGGCCGGAGATGAAATATCTACATACATCTTATAAGAGTATAATACATTATGTATAATATCAGTTAAAATAAGTGCTTCAACATAGTTAACATTGCTGGAGGTATGCACAAATATTGATAGATGTCTTGTAATGCACTATTGAGGAACCTGCGACCCAAGTTTTTCATTCAATGCATAACTACACCATAGTTGTGTGGGCCTATATGATATGTCTTGAAAGGGATGTGCAAAATAGTCATTATATACAGTCTTTAATTAACTATTAGTAGAGAATAACGAGTAATGAATATACTTTATAGGGATCCTATTCATATCTAATAATAAAAATAATGAAATTCAATAACATGCTTTAACCACTAGGTGTCCCTTTATATCAGCTGTGCACCTTTATGGTGTAAATACAGCCTATCTACCAATTGGATCAAATATAAAAGTCAGCCGAATTAGTGTTGATACTGCAAGGAGACGTATTGTGTGAAAAGAAATGTAAGCTGTTGTTTAATGGCTGATATATTTATGATCCACGTCACGTTTTCAGTTCCTCATGTTTGTCTAGAAATCTTCTCATCAGGGCTATATAAATACAGAACTACGGCAGATATGTAATATTTAATGCAGCCGAACCGTGTATTACAATGCCGTTATGTGATGACTTTCAAAGAGAAAAGCAAGCACACTCGGAATAAAGTATTATTTTTTTTTTTTTAAATGTTTTCGGTCTGTTTCCGGTATTTGTTAATGACGATGTGCGGTGATATGTGAGACTGGAATTGCACAGGGGAAAATAACGTAGGCTATCTTTAGATGCGGATTTTGTTAAACTAATATGTTTGCGCTGTGGACCAACACTATACATTGACGGGGAAGGGGGTAGCAATAAAGATAACACCATTAAACAGTTACACAACATAACAGAAATAATATCGATAGCAGCGTCCCTAGCAACCACCTTGGTAACAATGAAAACTTCCTGAAGTAATCTTCGTAATAACTAGCAAACTAAAGATCATGTACATCCACTGCACACATAATCTGAAATAACAACTCATATTTCTCGCATCAAATGACATCAAAACGCATTTTAATGGCCAAACTAACTTTAAAATAGGCATTTTACACCGAGAATAAAACGAAGTTCGGCCATATTTTTTTTTTCTGCAGGGAGAAATTTGAAGATCACGTGACATAGACGCCAGCCATTGGAATGAATGGTGAAAACAGAGCACATGGTGTAGTCCAAACGATAGCTGGGGATTCTGGGTAGTGTATTGTCTTCTGCCATCCTTTACTCCGAAAAAACATTTGTTTCTCCGAATCGAAGGGGAAAAATACAAAAGCATTGCACACAATTTAAACCAATCAATGTTGTGTAATTAACAAGGATAATCTGGTGTTTTTTAGTCGATGAGTAGTGCAGATATCACTGTAAAATCAATCAACAGTAAGGGGAATACTTACTTCCGGGTGTACAATTCTCCGTTATCCAATGAGAATGGACGCTCACATTGCCTTTAAGGGCAGCCGACACAAACGAATGCCGTGCTTCCATGAGCATCATTACCAGTAGAAATACATTGCTTTTATCGTGCTGTGCAACACGAAAAAAAGGGGGAAATCGTGTTGGTGAACACGAATCAATAGATTAAAAATCGTGTTGGTGAACACGAAATGCCATGAGACTGGGTTGTTCTGGAAAACCTGCCACAGAGGCTCTCTTAACCTTTCCAACCAAGTCAAGGGGATCAATTGCCAAGCAGCTGAGTATCAGTGTGAGGTCCTGGATGGAAAGAAGTGAAAGGGAATGAAGAAAATGTGAAGGAGGTAAAAGTGTGTAGCCAGGAATTAAAAAAAAGACAAGGAAAAGACAAGTAGGGTGATGTAACGAGCTGAGAAAGAAGAGGGGAATAATATAAGAGAGACAAATCTTAGAAAGAGGAAAAGTTGAAATACGCATCAACCTCTGTTTCATTATGTAAAGGGTTCAAACTGAACAAATGTCTTCCAGCATGACTACCAATCTGAGGGAAAAGCAGTGATTTCACAGACTAGCTCCAGCTGCAGCTCCAGATGAGACAAAAGAGGAAGAAAAAAGAAGAGGAAGATAAAAGTGAAGAGTGAATAACAGATAGACTGGGACAATACACAGGAAACCGAGTATAGTGAGGGTAGAGTTATAAAAGGGTAGCGGGGGCAGGGAAGTAACGAGTAAGAAAAGGGACGTACATCAGCCTATAGTGTTGCTGCAGCAGCTGTGACGTTGGTCAATGCAGCGCGACAGAGTCTATGATGTCACTAATGCAGCACGCCACCAAGGTTATTGTGCATAAACCACCGTTTAACACCTTGCACCACGACACGAAGCAAGGACAGCCGGGCAAAAACCCACCTCGATAAATGTTGTCCATTCCTTTCCCTCTAGGTCTCCTCTTTCCGACTTTCCCAAGATGCATTGGGGCTGTCAGAGCCAGACATTAATCCATGCCCTTGACGAATGCATCTTATAATAAGTAGTGGCAGGCAATTTTAGGCATTTCCACACTGTAAATAATGCAGCATTAGAGAGGGAGACATATATAAAGGGGGGTGGGGGTTGCTGAGAGAGAGACATGCAGAGAAAGAATGAGGAACAGAGAAAAAGATCAAATGGGGATGCATGAATGATAACAAAATGATGCGTGAAATGAGGGGAGCACGAGGTGCAAGCTAGAAGGCAGAGCTGGATCCTTTGAAGACAAATACATTGATCATGACATTACATGGCAAGCCTCCTGCATCTCCTTGACCTAAACAAATCAATCAACTCACAGATGGCAGATAAAAACTGAGAAATGTCAACATCAAAGGCAATATAATTATCTTTTTTTTTCTCAAGACAGAGACACAGACTGGATAAACGAGGCGGGGGAAGCAGCACAGGATTCTTCGATGTGTTTCCCTCTGTACTATTTTCAACCATGAAATATTCATCCCGACTTGACATTATGTAAAAGAGAACAGTGTGGTTGGGCAGTCGTTCCATGGCGATATAAAGGACAGTTTTTCTCCAGCCGAGTTAGTAGGACAGCACAAATGACAGTTTGACATTGCTGATATACTGCAGAGCCTGTTTTTTCTTGTGAACACTGGCAGCAAAACTAACAATGACAGCAGAGAAGTGCTGTAGTCCTGCCTATCAAAATCGTAAGGACTCACATTTGTGAGATGTGTACTGTATGTCCTTTATCATTCAGGAGCCAGAAGGAATGCCAAGGCAGCAGTAGGTGTCAGCATTGTTACAAAGAAGTGCACAAGTAAACAGAACTAGAGCTTCAGAGGGGACTGAATGCTCATGAAACCTAAGCATATGCCTCCAAATAATTATTCTAGTTTTGGAAAGTCATGCCTGTGTTTTCCTCCTACAGCAACTGGTTAATCTCTTTTACTGCATAAATATGTTATGCAATTTTTTTGATTGTGAAAGTGATCTTAGTCTGTTTATTGTTGTAACAATGTTTTTACAAGATAATATAAGATGGACCTTTATTATGCTTTTATGCTACCTTATGCCAAGTCTCTCTTCAATGAACAAGAGAACGAAACAAAATACAAAAGGAGCCAGTCATATGTGGAGTTTTCCTAAATCTTTCATAGTGTTGACACTGTAAGGAGGAGGGATCTGTCCATGACGAGGCAGGTTATAGCCAGATATCACTCATATGTCAGAAAACAAATAGTGCAGCCTACTGCTTTAAACATGATTTGTCGTTCCACTCTGCAAATGATTTACAGTCAGAACTTCTCAATACATCATAAAGTGATTGTTTTGGTTATATTTGGCTGGATGTGATGGAAAACACTCAGGATGCATTAGGTGCTTCTCTAGCAAGGTTAAGTCATGTATTTTCCTTTAAGCTGTCATTAAAACTATATAACCATTAAGTTAAATATTTGAATTCTTCACAGATTAACTCTATATATTCTAACTTTATTCAAGCTTTTAATAAAGAAGCCAGTATTTGCCATCATATAAACAACTTTGAATGACTCCTCTACCTCTGAAGATATACAGATGGGAACTCTGCAAAGTGTAGGCTCAAAATTACAGGCCTGCAGCTCCATGACCACATGGAAACCATGATTGTAGACCTGTGGAGTATATATAGCACCGGTCCACTCCTTAATGTTGTGTATTGTGGCTGAATGTACGCCCTGGCCCTGCAGTCTGCACGACTGAATAGGGAGCATCACAGCCAAATGATACACTGCGTACATGACAGTTGGCACTGATGTTGTCATGTGTCTATCCTATTCATCCACAACAGGAAGAAAAGACTGAGAATGGATTTGTGTCACTACACGTAAAATACTTCCATATGATGTTTGTTTTCTTTAATTTGTCATCTGTCATGTGTGCAAGTTGCCCATGGGTATAATGTGCCATTAAACTCCCATTATGAGTTGAGATGTAAACTACACCATATGGACAAATGAAACAGCTGTTAAAATGATAGAATGATACAAAAGCATGAACATTTCTGTTCATTTTATAGAAATTATCACTTCATGACATGCTTGTGTGAAATTAACTTAACACATGTTGAGGATTTGATGGGCAAGAGAAAATCTGTTTGAAAATGCAGGTAAAGTCCTCTTCCTCTACCTCTCTCTCAGCTTCTTCAGCAGCCTCCTCAGCTTTGTGCTGCAGTGCTTATTGCTTCTACTAACTGCACACCGTCTTGAAACAAATTAAATTCCAATGGGGTCGCAACTGCCAAAACATAGCCCAAACAAATGTACCACCTCCTCTGTCAACACCCACTCTCAGGATAGCAAACAGATAGAAAAGCCCTCTAACACATTCCGAAAGCAAAAATATGAGTTGAAAAGTGAATGTGTTCAAACTGCAAGATACAGCATATCTAATGCCACATGGGAAATGGAGATGTGGAGTGGGAGAAATACTGTGTATGTATTGGGTTTATTATGTTTCTGTACTGTACCTCTGAGTTGAAGCGGATCTGGCAGACGTTACATGAGATGACCGGCCGCTTGGTCTTGACCAGTGGAACTCCAAAGGTGTGGTTGATCACGGCCTTTTGCACCGGATCCATCTGGTAGAGAAAATGACAGAGAAATCTGTGAGTTATAATCCAGACCCAGTGACAATTAATACTGGAGCACTCGTCCAGGTGCCACAAGTCAACAGGCCCATCCATCATTGTGATATAAGGAGTGAACGTGTGATGCCCTCTGCATTAGATGGGTGAGTGGGATCCACATCTCAAACTGATCACACAGCAGTGGATTAAGTGCATGGACAAGAGCGCGTTTGTGTTTTGTTAAGCAAATAGTGCTGTTCACGGCATGTTGCTACAACTAAGACACCTGTTGCATCCTGCCCACGCTCAACCTTCTTTCCTGACCAGGTTGTAGCTTCATGCTGTCCTCGTGTTAATTGTTTCAGCTGGGACGTCCATCATACAAGGTGTTAAGCACCTCATATACATTTAACCGACTCGCTTTAGGAGCTCTCCAACGTGTCAGTGGCTAAGCCACCTACTTCAATTCTGTCCCAGACAGTAAAGACCCTGCCCGCATCATTTTAAAAAGGCTCTATTCCAATATTTATCTGTGTTTGAAGCTGCATTTATCTAGTGATTATTGTTAATTGACCTTAGTATTAGTCTTGCTATAGCTATGGTGGTATTTCATCACAGACTATTGTCTGGCACTATGTCTGCAGCTAAAACAGTCCATGTGTTAAAGATGATGCGGCACAGCATTGGTACTCGAAAGGAATAAATAGAAACAGAAGACCTGGCCTGAAGGACAAAAGGATATGATATGTGATGCTGTGTGTTTTGAATTCATAAGGCACCGAGGGAATGTTCCGGAGAGTCCTCCAAGTCTGATGCAGGCCTGTATTTTTTTTGTTGAGAGCATGACAGACTGTAAATGACTCAATATGGCTCGTCCCCAGATTTAAATTTGGCTTATCACCAAAACTTTCCTTAAACCATCTTGCAACCAGAGCCATTGTCTAATCTAAAATGCAAATGAGCAAGACGTGAGAAGAGAGGGAGACAAAAGAGCAGCTAACATACATGTTCTCATAACTTATAGACAAACCATTTACATGTCTGCATGCTGCATGTTACCGAGCAACTCTAAAGAAAACAGGGCAAACAGAAAGAAAGAAATGGGGAGAAGGCCCAAGACATTTATCTGGGTGACAGGACGGTACAAAAACACACCATCTGGGGGAGCCAATGAATGAGACAGTGGGAGAGGAAGATGGATTGGGACAGATAGAAAGAGAAAAGGAGGGAGAAATGGGAAATAGCCCAGAAAGAAAGAGAGAGAGAAAGAAAAAAAGAAGAGGCCCAGGCCGGACATCCTCACATCGCACATTCTTATCTCATTTGGCTCTCTTTCCCATACTCCACGTTCCATGACTCCCTCTATTTTACTCCCCAGAAACAGCCTGAAGTAGGCTCTACTGCTGCTGTGAATTTAGATGGATAGAAGGGGAGGGGCGGATATTGAGCAATGACGTTGGTGGACAAATAGTATGGGGAGGAACTGCATGAATACCTCAAAAGTGACTAAATACAACCAAAGAAATCCACATACATCTTTGGTCTATTCTTTCGAACCCCTGCTAAATGTCACCCCAACTCCCATATTATAAGCAGACTTAACTGTCAGGTTGCGGGGTAAATACTGTTTGTGGGTGTCCATGGTGTGACCCATCATCAAGTTTAATGAGAGCTGAACAGGCTGTGTGAGGTAACTGTACACATGAATCAGTACTCAGGGTGTGTGTCGAATATGACCCATTCAGTATATTCAGCTGTTAAAAACAACGCCCAGCTGCCAACAATCCTTTTTGGACGGCAGCTCACATGCTTCTTACCCACATGTTCTCCAAAACTTGTCCTCATGTAATAGTAGCTGAGCCGTGTGATTAAGTGAAGAGGGATCGTCCACAACTCACTCAAGTTGCTTTGACCAATTTTGAGAAAACGAACAACTGTCATTCCAATTGGCTGCATTTCCTGCATTAATAGTTTAAGACTAATCCCTCTCTAAAATGTGAACTGTGAACTGTGAACAGTTGTCATAAGAGAAGTCTGGGTGAGTTTTGGAAACATGGAGCAGTTTGCAATGTGGTGAGAGCCCTGGCCGATGTGAGTAAACCACATAAACCGCTGACTTTATCACTCAGCGGTCACATCAACAGCTCCACAGGGCCTTAAGAGACTAACAGCAGAATGCCTTTTGTTAATACAGAGTTTATTCTGAGGTGAAACAGCCCAAAGAACAACCAAGCATCTCCCTTCGCTTCACCACAGCAAGGACCTAAACTCACCGACATTCTCTGCATGTTACTGTCTTTTTCTTCAACTCTCACTGCCCTCCACTTTATTTTTCATTCCCTCATGATTTGTTTGTGCCCTCTTCCTCTAGTGTGTTTGATCAGTACTCGGTTGGATTCCAGCAGCGAAGGATGTACTGTTCTGTGACTCTCGGTGGGACCATTCTGGCAGTCACTCCATAGTCTGCTCTGTGCCAGATAAATAAAGCCTTTGAAGCTCTTGGTTCTACATACTTTTGAGTCATGCCCAGATTAAGACACACTTGGGTGTAAAACAAACAAAAGAATGGCAAAAAATCTCCAAGCATTTAGGTACTCACCTTCTTCTCCTGTGTATCTGTAGAAGCTTGGAGCTGCATTTCTCCTCCTGTATGTGTACTGCTGGACGAAGTGTGTGTTTGAGCCTCAGCATGTGCGAGAATGAGAGTGTGTGGTGCACCTTCCTCACTCATTCAGCGCCCTGGTTTGTTGGTTGTCAATGCTGAATACAAAGTAACTCACTTAGAAGACTTGTGCCTAGTGATGCATTGCCAGCTACGATTTCTTTGTTTTCCCTCCTCTGGCACCCTACTTCTCTTTGAAAAGCCTCAAGAGAAGAAGCAAGTGTCTACTGAAAGGAATATCTCAAATATCTGCCTTACTCTGTTATTTCACTGAAACATCCCCTAACAAGTTATTTTCCCTTTAGTTTAGCCTCCTTCTCCTCTCCTCTTCGATATGTTCTCTCTCTCTGCCTCACGCTTCCCTAAAATGCATGTCCCTTAGTCTGCTTTCCAGTTTTCTCCTCCCCTTCTCTCTCTCTCTCTCTCCCCCCTTCTTCAGGCATACTCTATCCATCCAGATGCAGCGAGGATTGTGTGTCCCCCTCTCCTCCTGCTCAACTCTCCCCCAAGTTCACACCATCTATCAAATGTCATCATCAGCCCCTAGTGGTTCCCTAGCAACCCTCATATGAACACACACACACAGTATTTCTTCTCTGGTTTCAATGGTTCAAAAGTATATATGATGCCTTGCAGCCAGATATCATTAGGTGCACATTTGATCTGATAAAGCCCAAAGTAAACTCTAAATGATTCCTTTTTTTAAGTCTGAACCTATGCGCACAGGTGTGATGAAATGATTGTCAATTAATATGGTGGAGATTAATGCTAGAATAAAAGTTGTTTAGGAAGAGAGTACGAAACAAGGTACAAGGAGCATGGACAGCAGGGGGGATTCAACAAGTCTGCACACGTCTTTGCATGATTGGACACCTTCATCAGAAATTCCTAACTTTGCGGCCTGAGAAAGCCCACATCAGTGCATGCATCTTGGCTCAGAGGTGTGTGAGCATGCATCTATATCAGGAGCAGCTGCTGCAGATAAATAATTCAGCCTTGTCACTGTCTAGAGGCACATTGAGAGAGACAGGCAGGTAGAGGACAAATCACATTAGAGGACCATTAAAGCTGTATATGGCTTTAGGAGAGGCTATTCGTCTGCTATGAGACTAATAAGTTATAACCCTCAATGTGAGGCTCATTAGGACTATACAAACTCAGCACAGATCAGCTAATAAGAGAGAATGATAGAATAACTAGCTGCTAGCTTAATGCAGGGACATCTCTCAATATTATTGCAGCTATAATGCTGGGTCTTCATTGAAATAGTGTGCATATCATTAGTTATTACAGTGTGTTGGTGCAGACGGGCACCAGGAGGGATAATAATCCTAGTTCATTCTCCATTCATGCAGTAATATGAGAAAGAGGATACCAAAGCAGTCGTTCTCTGATTGTTTAAACATTCTTCTGTCTAAAAGCCCCTACAAGCCATAAAATACTGTCAGTGATGTAAACAGAACCGCAAACACTTACTATATCACTCTAGGTCTTCCTGTCAACTAAAGCATAACAACTCAGAGAAACTCAGGGGCCAGGTTTCCGTCCGTAGGAAAACATCAAGAGACATCCCTCATTAGCAGCAACCAGTATTTTTCATTTTAGCATTTTCACAGATCAAAGATATAGTTTAAGGCAAGTCTATATGCCACAAATAAAACAACTGTGATTGTGAACGATGCTTCAGGCATCACACACTTTTCTACTGTACCATCATCGTGAGTGTGTCAGTCCATTGTTTTTAATGCAATGCAGTAAACACATATACTGCCTATGCGTATGTGCCGAAATGCGGTAAATCTGTAAGGTCATGCCGTCCTCCAACTCTCTCCTATGGCCCCATCTTCTGGCCGCAGGACTGTAAAACACCACTCAGTGTGCTGTGCACTATGTCATCATCAGCAACAGCTATTAAGATTCACAGTGTCCCTGTGGGCCTTCAGACGTAGTTAACGTTCTGAGGAGGAGAATGGGGAGTGGAGGGATGTTACAGGAGATATGTATAGAGTCTACCAGAGGCAGCGATACAGGATGAAGAAAGAGCAAGCAGGAGTGATTATAGGGTTTTGCTAGCAGACGCAAGAGTGGAAACTGAGTGCCTGTGTCATTTCTGTATCTCTATTAATCCATGTCTGCTGGGTGCACTGCAGTTTCAGCATCAGTAGGAATGCTTACACCTATGTCATGGCCCGTGGAGAGCTATTCAATGTACTGTATAGTTAAATGTGTTTAACAGTGTCCGGTACTTTCCCTGTAGTATCAAAGCAACATGCCAGATATGACCAAATTAGTAAAAGATATGTCGCACCTTTGCAAACTGCAGCCAAACTTGCCAAGCTGACACATGCTGATAATGCACTGCCCCACATACAGTCCAAACAAAGTTCACTGATTTTACATATTACTGACAAGTCATGTGTTGACATTCCCTAATGGAGTCTCGAGACACAGGCGGCATATTATGCTGAGTTGGTGAAATGCTAAGTCTCTCTACGGTCTAATCTAAATGATAAGATGTTTGTCTGGGCCTGGGGAAACAGGAAGATCCATCTCTGTTAAAATAAATACTACATCAAACAAACTGTGGTGTTTGAAGTGCACAGCAATGAGGATGGCCCGAGAACTGCTCTTTTATTTTGTGCAGAATACAAAAATACGACAGTGTTTTGACATGAAATGGTTCGGTTTGAGGATTACCTTGTAGTCAGGCCTGTGTTAAACACTATGGTAGCACCTCAATATTTTAAAGAGAGTTTAATGCAAATTACATTTAGAAAAATATATGTTTTACGAGTGGGTCCCTTATTGCACAGGGTTAGTTAAAAGACTGCAGTATGTATGTGTGTGTGTGTGTGTGTGTGTGTGTGTGTGTGTGTGTGTGTGTGTGTGTCTGCTTTAACTCTCACCGTGTTGAAGTTGTGAAAGAGGTTCATGCTGTGTGGATGATGGGCGGTTTCCATGGGAAACTGCAGGAAGTGCTTCATGTCCAGGTGGGGCTGGAGCATGGTGGGGGTCCTCAAGAATGTCGGCACTGCCGCCCCAGCCCGGTTTATGCCTCCTGCACACAGACAAAGACAGGAATAAATACATTTATATGGCATTTTCTTCCAACTCAAATGCATGTTCATTTGGCAATCAAATGTCTTTTGTGATATATTGAATGCATTTTATCACATAATGTTTTCCTGAAAACTGCCACTGAATTCAAAATAGCACAATAAGCCATAATTGCACTGCAAAGCAATTATTTGTCTGCATACAGAGCAAAACCATGTGTCATCCCCGTGGAACACTGAATCTCTAAACTGAGAGAAAACGCAGCATTTGGTCTGTGAAGTACGGTTGAATGATTGCTCTGGACGAATTCAGCTTTCTGACAAGTTGACAAGAATGAAGCTCCAAAGTGCAGCAGCACTGCTGTGCCACAAATGCTGTTATACTGAAGGTTTTCTGGGCTTTGTTAAATTCACCTCATAGAAGAATTTTAGGTGCACTAAAACATGCACATTAAATGAAGCGGGAATGCCACAGAGAAGAAAGGAATGCCAAGGAGGCTGTGGGGATTTCTTTCTCATCCACCTGCCTGTGACTCCCCTCTCTTCTTCTCTCATGGGAGACATCTGCAGCTTGATGATAATGACTTCCATCTCAGCATTTGTTGTCAAGTTGTGATTTGGTTTGTTTGATGGACTCCTGCCTAAACTTGAAAATGGCTTGATTCACTCCAAAAGGACAACTCAAATTTGAATCTTCCCTCTTTATATGAGTTATTGCAGATTTCTTTTTGCTTCATTCAGCCTCTTGTTAGCCTCCTGATGCATCGTTTAGATTGAAAACCTTTAACACAAAACATACTTTCATTCACTTTAGGCAAATAAACATTTCAATGAAAAACATGCCATCCTTACATTTCTGCTCCATAATCAAGTTACAATTAAACTTTTTTAATTTAATCAAAAGTAAATGCATCTCAACAAAGTAAATTATATTCCAGCATCTTATATTTTAGCTTCTTACCTCATAAGACTAGAAATAATAATTCATCTAATCAAACATGGTTCAAACTGATTAATACATTTACAAATATATCACCAGCAGCATCTTTGGTCGAATCTTTGAGTCTCTTCTCCTCTCTCACAGCGAACTGTTTGTCCTCTGCTGCGAGTGTGCATTCCCAGGTGCGTTGCATTAAGCTCATTAAATAGGAGGCTCACACTCTTCCTTTGAGCCACATCCTCAGTGGAATCACAGACCCTAGGCTGTATGTCATCCCGACTAGTGCACTAGAGTTAAAAAAGTTGGTAGTGTCCAATTATGGAATGAATGACTCATGGACTCTGGTTACCCTGCTCATGTCTGACACATGCTCCCGGCTTTGACTGTATCCAACATGCTGCTTGAGCCGATATTCACAGAAGCTGAAGAACACGCACACAGACACACCTGTGCCTCCATGTAAATGTTTAAGTCTCCTATGAAAGCATGCAAGGCTTTTCATAATGATACACGGCTCCTATTCTCGTCCTAACTCCCATCTGCCCTCTTTTCCTTTCCTCCTTATCCCCCTTCGTCGCCTATCTAACCTCTGTCAAGGATGATAGTGATGGGGCCCACACAGCAAAACTCAGCCTCAGCAAGCTCTTAGATTAAGCCTCTTAATATCCGCAACTGGATTTCTGTGGCTTTCAAATTCCCCCGAGACTTATAGCTTTACCGCTCTCCTTTTTGGGGATTGCTCTAAGCTACTCCCTCACTCCGTTACTTGCTGTCCCTCCCTCTGCTTCCTACTGCAACTCGATTCTACCTGCTTCCATGCTGTCACATGGTAATTTGTGCTTTATTTGACACCTCTGCATTTTCATCAAGCTTTATGTCAAATGAATGCGATCAGAGAAAAAATAATATGGCTGCTGCGTGGGGGAATATGGTGTTAGCAAATGCAGTCTTCAAAGTTTGGATTACAGAGAGCAAGGGAGAGAGAGATAGAGGAAGAGAGCTTGACTTTGTCAGACTGAGTGAAAGTGCTGTCTCAGCTGAAGCCCAGCTGCCTTCTGCTGCCATCCGTGGGCCTCGAGGTGGAGAGTACTGCATCATTACCTTAAGTTCAGCATTTCAGTTTCTATCACTGAACAAACCACAAATAAACACACATGTATGAATGCAGAAACCCATGCACACACATGCAAGTATCCTTTATATATGAAAAACAAGTGTCTGTTGGCTTTCCAGCTGGTGGACTGTACTTGTCTCACCATCGCAGGCTGACTCACTTACAAACAAATGTAAGTGGAACAATTGAAACTTATTGTGTGTTGTTCCCAATTTGCAAATCTCACTGTGAGTCAGTCTTTAAGCTGAGCGCCTCCGTGATGCTGTTTGTCGTGATAAGGGAGGGTGGGAGGGAGGTCCTATAGCTGCTCTCTCCCCCACCTCTACCTCCATGACTGATGAAGGGGGCTCCTCCTCTGGGGCTGCACCACTAACAACATGACTAATACACTGCTTCTTCACTGCATTTATCATGACACTATGTCACATGTTGATACATGGCCTCCATTGGTGTCAGGGTTTTTTATGCAGCAGTGTGTGTGTGTGTGTGTGTGTGCACGTGCGCATGTGCGCGTCTTTGGCTTGGAAGGAGTGATTCTGTTGGATGTAGTTGCACAGTAGTAATGTTTGCAGCTCCCCAGTGAGTCTGCACTTGAACAGGGAGCGTGTAGGCAGTAGGTCAGCCAGCCTCTTGCAGGCAGACAGACAGAGATTGGCTGACCTGGGGAACAGAACGTGTCTCTGCAACAGCAGCAGCAGCAGCAGAAGGGGGGGGGGGGGCGGGGAGATATGAGGAAGTGAATGGAGCCGGAGACCTGAGAGAAGAAAGAGGAGCATTCGTCCTTGGAGCAAAGTCCCAATCTGTCCCATCAGAGTGTGTTTTAGAGTGTGCATAAATCAGAGTGTGTTTTAGAGTGTGCATAAATCAGAGTGTGGCTGCTTTATTCTCGGAGTGTATAATCACCCCATTAATTTAAACCTCTCTTTGGGGACTTTCCCACAGTGTAAATCAAACAAAATCGCTGAATCAAGCCGGAGTGTGTCTGTGTGACCTGTGCAAGTTATTATGGGTATGTGTGCTAGAGAAGTGTGTGTGATTCAATGCATGTTTGTACCATAGAGCAGGGGTTCCCAACCTTTATTGTGCCAAGGACCGGCAGATCCATAAAATAAAAAAATCGCGGACCGGTTGTCAATTTTAACTGATTTTAATATTTACTCACCACCAGCAGGTAGCAACAGAGGCTAATTGTATGTAACAGCCTGAACAAATACTAGAACAATATGCATCCAAAACATTAACGTTTAAAAAAGAACCGGTGTCGTTTTTCGGTTTTTCGGAAAAACGGAAAACCAAAAAACCGACGTTATTCCATTTTTAAACCAAAACAGAGAAATCAACGTTTTTGGTTTTGTTTGATTTACGGATAATCCAGTGAATCTGGGAAAACGAGGAGAAGGAGCATTATGAAGTGTGTGTGTGTGTGTGTGTGTGTGTGTGTGTATGTGTGTGTGTGTGTGTGTGTGTGTGTGTGTGTGTGTGTGTGTGTGTGTGACACTGACATTTGTTTTCAGAAGATATTATGATAGATGCTGCGTATCACAGCGCACTGAGATTTGTGACAAACTGTAAAGCATTAACCCATCACTGTACCCTGTATGCAAGGGCTGGTTTGCTTTCACTAACTGTACGGAGGCTCAGTCACTGGTACATTTTTATATACAAAGCCATGTTAGGGAAACTTCCATCCTACATCTGCTCCCTGATCTCACAGCGAATTGTAAGTGGCTACTGCCTGAGATCGAATGCTGTAGTTTTATTAAATGTGCCAACTGCTAGGACTGTCTTAGGGAAGACAGCTTTTAGATGCGCAGCTCCTCTGTCTTGGAATAGTCTGCAATTGAAATGGAAACTGAGCAATCTGGTGCCACTAAATGTTTTTAAAGCTCGGTTGGATGCTACTCAATCGGAAGCTGTTGGTACCTGTTCATGTGGATAGTTATTGTAAATTGTAATCCCTGTAATGATGCTGTATGATGTCCTTTTGTTGTTCTGTTTATGTTTTTATGTTTCATGTGGAACTACTTGAGCAGGTCTCCCTTGAAAAAGAGATCAATGATCTCAATGGGATACACCTGGATAAATAAAGGTTTGAAATGAAATGAACGTTCGTTCCGGTGCACTCCGACAGCATTTAACACTACATCGAGATTAAGATTAAACTAACTTCTTTTGGGAACACCCGCATATACCTATGGAGTTAGCCAGATGTGTGTAAATTACTGTTCATGGTCATTTGAAAAGAAATGCCGGTGTCGAACAGACACAAACACACCGAACTGAGCAGAGCACATACACACACACATCATGTGCCTTGGTGACTGGACATCTCCTTCATAAAACTAATAAAAGGGGGAGTAATCGGGCAGTTCGATGTGTGTAGAGGGGTGTGTGGTTAACACGTAGCAGCCTGCAGTCACTCGCTGTTCTGCGAAGTGAAGCGAAGGCGGTACGTAAAAAGGCACATCTTTACCCGCTGGTGCTGCACTTCTCAGAGGCGTCCCGCTGCCTCCTGATGCTGCCTGCAGCCATTTCATGAAGTGAAGGAGGTTTTCCTTCTATAAAACAGCTGTGGCAGCAGATAACGTGAGAGTCCCGGACATTAATTCATAGATCAAGGCAGACTGGTTTACTCTCCTGTTTTGCCAATCCTGTTTTTCCAATTTTGCTTAAACAAATAGCTCTACACCCCTGGCGAACATGTCCTTAAAAGGAAGTCCGAGTTTGAAATATATTTCAAATAATGTATGCACTGCCATTTCCCCACATAAACATAACAGTCTGCAATCAAACGGTTGTCTCCTGTGCGCTCCTCTTCCTACTTTAACTAGGCTACTGGATGAAATAATATGACTGGTATAGGTGCGAAAATTAAACACTTTTTGAAAAAAATATGATGATAAAATATTTTTATATATTTATAATTCTGCAAATATTACGATACATTC